CAGGGTTTCTCCGTAGCTTTTGGTTCCTGTCCTGGAACTAGCTCTTGTAGACCAGGCTGGCCTCGAACTCACAGAGATCCGCCTGCCTCTGCCTCCCGAGTGCTGGGATTAAAGGCGTGCGCCACCACCGCCCGGCACTTTGTGACATTCTTATGAGGACACATGTATGCCGAGGGCATTCCAAACTGAGAGAAGTGGGTTGATGCAGTTAAGACAATGAAACTTATGGTGTAGGTGTCCCCCAACCAGATGTGACTATGACTTGTCCAATGAGTGTGACAATGGGTGCTTTGTCTTTATAGCACATACACAAAATTGTTTAACTCAGGGTATTTAAGGAAAGGTGGGTCTTGGGGTTGTGGTGTCTGGTGACACTGCCCAAGTTGACCTGCTTCACTTAGGGCAATGCTTGGGAACACACTCATTTTTACACAGGTGTCCTCTGTCTCCACTGCTACACTCTTCACTTATTCTGTAATTTGGGATGCTGTTGGCTACATTTGGGAGATCTAAGCCCAACTGAGTGAGCTGCCCATATGAAGCTGGTTGGGTCCTTGGCCATGGTCCTGGAGCGGGGAGCTGGGATCATTTCCAGGTCATGCACATGGTATTCTCTTCAGTCTGTGGGCACTCTGGAGGATGGACATCTATGGGACTTAGAGCTAGAGAAGGCATCTTTACAAGCTTCCCTGGCATGCTGCAGTTGGAGTGTTCCCTGTTTTCTTCTGAGGTATTGACTAGAGGTGACCTTTTCGGGGGTGGGGGGTGTTTGAGACAGAACCTTACCAGTAGACCACAGCCTTGTGGTGATTCACAGATTAATAGAAATGGGTTAATATAATATGTCAGAGTTAGCTAGAAGTATGCCTAAGCTATTGGCCAAACAGTATTGTAATTAATATAGTTTCTGTGTGATTATTCAGGTCTGAGCAGTGGGGGAAATGAAAGCACAGTCTGCCTACAAGTGACGCCCTAACGGCTGAGGCTAACACTCATGGTCTGCCTTCCACTTCAGGTCCCGGTTCTTGTACACCCACTCAGGGTAAGGAGGAAAGTAGCTGAGAGCATGCCTGCTGCTCAGCACCCCTGTGTGAGCATGCAGCTGGATGGGGTCTTCTAGGTGTGCACACTCCTTCCCAGAGTTGAGGTGTTGAGTGCAGCTCTTACGAGGTGGTCCCAGTACAGGTACCTCTACCATATTGAAAGACTGAGAAAGGTGGAGCCAGCATCTAGGGCTGCTGTGAACACATTGCTTACCATTTTAAAATGCTTCTTATCAGAAAAGCATTTCAGATAGGACAGATTCAGACATAAAAGACCTCTAAATGATAAAAAAAAAAAAGACCTCTAAATGAGACACAGTATGTCAAAAAAAATGTACATAGGCTTGGGAGAGAGAAGAAAAAGTATAAACAGTTATAAAATGAAACAAAGTCTTTAAAGAGACAGTAAAAGTAATATAAAAGTGCAGCCATAGATTAAAGGAGTAAAGAAAAATAAGCCATGTAAAGATGAAATATACACAGAGTCTGGATTATGTATATTGTTATGTTTCTTTGAATCTTTTGACTGCAGAGAGATACTTGATTCTGGGGGCTGCTGTTAAAACCAACATATATATTTTAAAGGTATCTTGACTTCAGAATTTGGGTCTAAGGATTTGCTGCTTTGGAAAAGAGGTTCTGCTTTTGTTTCCACAGAGGACAGAAAGCTGTGGATTCCTTACCAGCTAATACGGTTTATCAAACAAGATCCCCTGAAGCAATGGCCCAGATGGTCCAACATCCATGACAGCTTCAGGACTACTGGCTGAGATGAACCTGCCACACATGATGCCCCATGAAAGATCTGATTAACAACATCCCAGTCAGCAGGAAGTAGTCTAGAGGACAACGCCCAAATTCCGTATATGATTGTTTATAAATGTTTATTTACATTTAAAGGAATATGCTATAGAGATGAATACTTTTGTATTTTGGTTTATTGATACAAATTTAAGGTCAGTTTTGTTAAGTGTATATTTCTGCTCTTGATTAATGTGTTTATGCAATTCATTTGAAAATGTAATGTATAATTAAGAAATGCAGATTAATAGATAGTCTATAATAGTCAAGCTTATAGTCCAGGTTAGGTTTTCTAGATGTGTTTCAGATTTCAGATGGATAGGTATTCTTCAAACCTTTCAAAAACTAACAGAATATGGCATTTAAAATGTTTTAAGAATTTAGGACTTTTCATGACAATGAGGCACATCTGCTCCTGGCAGCACCAATTACTTCAAGAGGATGATAGGCATTGAAGAGGCTGCTTATGGAATTTGTTAGCCTTTTGGGCAAGAAACTGCTCTTGCCTGGACTGCTTGATGGTATGCTGTTTCAACTGGAAAAATGACTGCTGAACTTGCCTAAAGGTGAGACAGTCCTTCAGGATTCCTGCTTCATGAAAGAGTCTGCCAGACATTCTGCAGGATACAGAGAAAGTGACTGACAAACTGCCAATAGAGGTGAAATGGCCTTTCAGATTTCCTGCTTCATAGAAAAGTCTGCATGGATACTATAGGTCTGTAGGCTGAAGATGGATGCCCCAATGTTACAGAAGAACTTTGGGTGACTGTCGAGGCAGTGAGATGTCTCTGTCAATTCTAGAATTTTAGAAGTTGCTTACAGTGCACTTCCTTTTAACTTAGGTAATATATCCTTCTGGGGTCTTTGATGGAGTTGAAGAATAGATAGTTATAGTTTTCCTTAGTTATGATAAAAGATAAAGTATATATAAATATTGTAACTGTAAGTCTTGCTGATAGCTATTTTGTTATGTAATTTTACTATGTTAAAGTTAAAACCTTCCTTTTTATTTAGAAAGAAAAGGGGAGATGATGTGGGATTCCCCTCTGTATGCTATGAATATGTTATATTACCATTGATTATTAAAGAAGCTGTTTCATCCAGTGGCTTAGTAGAGTAAAGCCAGGCGGGAAATCTGAACAGAGATATATAGAGAAACTAGGCAGAGTCAGAGAGATGGCATGTAACTGCTGAAGGAGAAAGATGCCAGCTGCCCAGCCAGAACCTTAACGGTACACCACAGCCTCATGGTGATTTCACAGATTAATAGAAATGGGTTAGTTTAAGATATAAGAATTAGCTTCCTTGGTCAGGGTTACCCCAAGGTATTTTATTCAAGAACAATTGCAGTGGGTTTTTGACCCTACTGCACGTACTGGCTTTGTGGGAGCCTAGGCAGTTTGATTGCACACCTTAGGAGACCTGGATAGAGGTGGGCAGTCCTTGGGCTTCCCACAGGTCAGGGAACCCTGATTGCTCTTCGAGCAGATGAGGGAGGGGGACTTGATCGGGGGAGGGGGAGGGAAATGGGAAGCGGTTGTGGGGACGAGGCAGAAATCCTTAATAAATAAATAAATTTAAAAAAAAAAGATATAAGAATTAGCTAGAAATATGCCTAAGCTATTGGCCAAACAGTGTTGTAATTAATATAGTTTCTGTGTGATTATTCAGGTCTGAGCAGTCTGAAACCAAAGCACAATCTCCGCCTGCAGACAGGTCTCTACATAGCTGAGACATTCCTGGCTGTTCTGGAACTAACTGTTTAGCTCAGGCTGGCCTCAGACTCAGAGATCCACTAGCCTCTGTTTGGGATTAAAGCTGTAACTTATTTTTTGTTTTTGGTAAGAGGATTTTGCCTATGTAGCCCTGGCTGTCCCAGGCTGGCCTTGAACTCAGAGATCCTCCTGCCTCTGCCTCCCAAGTGCTAGAATTAAAGGCATGTGCCACCACTGTCGGGCTTAGTTGTTCTTTTTGAGACAAAGTTAAGTAGTCTGAGCTGGCCTTGAACTCCTTATGTATTCTGACCTTGGTTTTCTTCTGTTCTATGCTGGCATTGCAGGTGGATGCTTCCTTGCCCTCTTTTATGCCATGCTGGGATTTGAAACACAAAGCCTTCCATTGGGCAAGTTGCTAGGCAAGCACTCTGCCAACTGAGCTACACCCAAGCCTCTTCACAGTGACTTTATTTTTGAAAAGGGAACTTAAGGGGTTGGAGAGATGACTCAGCTGTTAAGAGCACTGGCTGTTCTAGAGGTACCGAGTTCAAGTCCCAGCAACCACATGGTAGCTCATAACCCTTTGTAATGGGATCTGATGCCCTCTTCTGATGTGCAGTCATACACACAGACAAGCATTCATATTACAGAGAGAGAGAAAGAAAAGGAACTTAAAATTTGCTAAAGGATTTTCCAGGAGACCTGAGCAGGCTTCTCTGCATCCAGATTGTGTTCGACTCCCCGACCCTGGCTGGACCGTGGGTATCTAGCTGGCAGGGGCTGTCTTTTAAGGCAGTAATAGCCCATCCTTCTGGAGCATTATGATTCTCCTGAGGGGGGGACAGTGGGCTAGGTCTCTGCTCTTTTTAAAATTATTGTGGTTGTTATTTTTACTTCAGTTTTTCGAGACAGGGTTTCTCTCTATCTTTGGAGCCTGTCCTGGAACTCACTCTGTAAGATCTGAGTGCAGGGATTAAAGGTGTGCACTGCCACTGCCTGGCTTAATTTTTTTTTTTTTTTGAAATAATAATAAAATTACATCACCCCTGCTTCCTCCCTCCAAACCTTCCCACATAGACCTTGTTCTCTTATCTATGCTCTCTTCTTGGTAAATAGGACTTGCCTCAGGGCACCTTGTTCTACCCACTCTCTTTGCCCTGTGGTGTGGAGGAGTCCCGTGTTCTGCTTGCCTGCTCTGAGGGAAGGATTTCCATATTTGGACCCTTTGGGCTACCTGTTTGGCTGTGTCTCTGTGGGCTAGAAGTGTTGACCGTCTAGTTCCGGGACAGAAAGCTCTGTGTGTTCAGGGCCTCAACCGTCCCCTGGAGGGGGCTGTCTAAATCTCAGAAGCTGAAAAGCCCTGAGAACACTGAATCTTGGTGTTTTTCAAGGGAGGGAAGCCTTGGGGACAGACCTCCTGGACTTACCTGGAAATTTCAAATTATGGGCATGGAATTGGAGAACAGAAAGGCTTAGCCTAAGAATCTGGCCTGCCAGAGAAGGACCCATAGGGTACTTGGAGGAGCCTGGCTAGGAGGGGCCTGAGTTGGGTAGAGTGGGGCGGTAGAGCCCTGGGAGACCCGCCCCTTGAACACATCTCCGGGCCTCAGCACTCAGGACAGTGTGTACATCTGGACAGCTGGTGGGAGCATGAACAGCTCACAGATGGGAGCTGCGGCCAAGGCTGCCTGGCTGAGCTGCTGTAACCAGTCTGGGTTGCCACTCCAGCCGCCCGAGGGGCCACGACTGGTGCAGGCGGTCATACTGGGCGTGTTGTCACTTCTGGTGATCTGCGGGATCCTGTTCCTGGGTGGTGGACTCCTCCTCCGAGCGCAGGGCCTGATAGCACCACCGACTCAGGAAAGGCACGCATCCCCCGAGGCCGAGCCTGGTGCCTGTGGAGGGGATGACTCCTAGGTGTCAGCCTGTCCACCTCTCCACAGAGAGGCTCAGCCCCTTCTGTGCCCTCCAGAGCCCATTTCTGTGGAGCACAGTGGGAAGGTCCATCCCGCAAACTCCTGTCTCCTGCACAGGTGAGAGCCGTGAGGCATAGGGAACGTGGGGGTGGGGCTGGAGGGTCCCTTCGCCTCTGATCTGACTGTCCTCTACAAACAGACAGCCTTGTGCTCCCGCAAGCATAAAGGAAGAGACTGGCATGGCCTGGTGATGGGAGTTCTTTTCTGGTACCTGTGTGTTTCCCCATCCCTGCATCTGCCCAGTAAATGTGCAGTGTGTTGGGCTCAGTAGGAACCTTTGTACTGGAGACTAATTCAGCCTGGCCTTGGCTATCAGCTCGCTGCTCTCCCCTCCATGAAGCCTTTGTTCATGACGGGAGTGGGGAGACCAGGGCCAACCAAGCTGAAGGTGGAGGAGGGGAGGGGGAAGAGCCTTCACTCCCATTGGAGAGGAATCCCTGCTTGTTTGGGGGACCCTTGCAGGTAGAGAGGTGTGGCAAGGCCTCCTCCTCTGCCTCCTGCCCCTGGTAGCTCAGGACCAGCTGTGTGTTGGGGGTGGTGACGGCAAGGCTCCTGGTAGGAGCAGATGCTGCAGGAAGAAGTGGGGCCGAGGATCCAGCTGTGGGGCTCTTTCTGGGTCTCTGTCTCTATGTCTCTAAGGACAGGAACCAGCTGGAGAGAAGGGCCTGGGTGGCCAAAGACAGAGTAACCCCGGTCCAAGGCCACCTCAGACTGAGCCGTGAAGGGGGTGCTGTTTGGGTGCCTGGGGACTTCTGTGAGAGGCTCTTCCTGGCCACTCTCTCCCCTCCTGCTCTCAAGTTACCACCAAGAAGGCAGTGGTGCAGGGTGCCCGTGAGGATGACCTGGTGAGGGGCTGAGGGTGTGGGCAGGTGCAGCTAAGTAGCTGTGAAGCCGACAATGTGTGATCCTTGCTTAGCAGCTAAGGGTTTGGCACCAGTCCTGGCCAGCCATGCCACCCTGGCCTTGAAAATGGCAGATTACATCAAAGATGCCTCCTCCATTGCCTTGGAGTGAAGATAGTCCAGGGCAAGGCAGTGTGTGTGTCTGTGCGTGTGTATATGCATGTGCACGTGTGTGTGTGCATGCGCGCACACACATGTGCATGCTCCTGGCATCAGGGTAGTGGGCAGTGGAGCCCAGGGCACTGTTCCCCACTCACTTCCCTGGTGGTGGGGACCAGAGAGCTCCTGACCAGGTTCCCCTGATACCCTCTGCTACGGTCTCCCTCCGTGTGCCTCCTTCCCTTCTTCTCTCTCTAAATCCCTGCAAACCCCTTCACTGGCAAACAGGGAAGCTCAGAGAACATTGAGAGGGAAAACAGACCCAGGAGACTGAGTGTGGAACCTGGAGCCCCGTGGTGCAGTTCCAGCTCTGCCACGCCCCTGAGTGTGTCATGTGGGGCTCTAGGTTCCAAGCTCAGTCTCCTGGGTCTGCTCTCCCTCTGCTTCCCCACAGCTCTGTGAGATGCTGGCAGGAGACATGGCTTCCCTTCCCGCCAGAAGGGAGCTGTTACAGGCACACATGCAACGTTCAGCTTGACCCTTCTTGTCCCTACTTCTTCAGTGGCCTTGCCAGATTCCGTTTTGGTCCTAGAACAGTCTTCAGATGCCAGGAGACAAGTCCTTACCAGCTGGGCGCAGCTTTCCTGGTTTGAACCTGAGGAATGGGGAGGGCCTCAGAGGATTGCTGAAGTAAACATGGATGGGAAACCAAGTCCCTGTGGTGTTAGGGATGTGTGGCGAATTGGATGGCAGGAGAGGCTCTGTCTCCAGCACCGTCTTGTCTGCTCACACCCAGGACTGTGACAGAGCTGGGAGAGGGGGTAGGCCAGCTTCCTGCCTTTGATGTCCCGTGGACTCAGTGTTTGGAATGGGTACTGTGTGTTCAGAAGTTCACTACAGATCTCTGATCAAGGCTATTGGGTGGGTGGGGAAAAAGGGGTTTGCTGCAGTAAGCTCCTTTCAGAGTGGAAAGAAGGGGATACTGGAGGGGGTCTGAGGGACAGAGGAGCGGCACCTTGGCTCCCATTGCACTCTGTTAGCCTGAGCCTGTATGACCATGGCTGGGGCAGCCGACGGACTGGCACCCTGCCCTACCCTGTCAGTCTGATCACTGTGCAGGGCCCTGTCTGATCTCAGCTGACTGCCCAGCTCCCTCCAGTCAAAATAGGGGCACCATGTCTTACAGATGCTGGAGCCAGCTGTGCCTCTCAGAGAGCTCTCCCTCCACCTGCCAGCGCACTAGGGAACCCCTGCCACCCACCCTCACCCCAGTTGTGATGCAGATGGTGGACTGAAGATACCTGGACTGTGGTGACTCTGCACTCTGGGATCCTGGCACTCAGTGCTGCCTCTGAGCTGTTCCCTGACACCCGGGGTGGGTCCCGGAGACCCAGGCTCCAGGAACACTGAGTCTACAGTGACTGCTGTCTGCTCTGGGCACTGAATGACTTTTCGCGCCAACCACTTGGACACTAGAGTGTCCTCTGCCCACCAGGCCCCTGTGGACATGAGTGAAGCACCTGTCCTGCCTGATGCTCGACAGTAGTGTCCTACAGCCCTGAAACCTGTTGTAACCTGCTGCCGCTGAGAACCATAGGTTAGACCCTCCCATTGGGAGAGAGCATCAGCCACCCAGCAATGTGCCATCACTTTCCATGGCTTGCTATTAAACAGGCCAGCAATACAGTTCTGAGTGTGTGGTCTGTTTCCAGCCCTTGACCTTGGGATTCCTAGTTTGTCTCCTCGCTCCCCTTCCATTTTCCTGCTTCTAGCAGACTGTTTGTTTGTTTATTTCTTATGTATTTAGTTATTGAGATAGGATTTTACTTCAATAGCCCAAGCTGACCTGAAACCTACTGTGTCTTCTAGGATGAACTTGAACTCGCAGTAATCCTTCTACCTCAGCCTCTCAGGGATTACAGATGGCACCACACAGCTGGTTTAGAACCAAGAGTTTGTGAGGGTGGCTGTGACGTTGGCTGGAAGTGACTCTAGTGCCCAAATGTGGTCGCGCCCTGACCTCTTGGTCAGTGTGATCAAGAGTTTGGCTTTATTCAACCTCCAACAAGAGCTGGGAAGGGGCACCTCTTCTATGTGGCTCCCATAGGCTCACATGTTTGAATGCTTGCTCCCCAGTTGATAGAACTCTTTGAGAAGGATTGGTAGGTGTAGCCTTATGGAGGAGGTGTGTCACTGGGGGTGGACTTTGAGGTTTCAGAAGACTTGAATTATTCCCAGTTAGTGCTCTCTCTGCCTGGTCCTTGTGCCTCACGATGAAAGCTCTCAGCCGCTGCTCCAGCGGATGCCCACTGTGTGCAATGAAAGCTCTCAGCTGCTGCTCCAGCGCATGCATGCCCATTGCGTGCGATGAAAGCTCTCAGCCGCTGCTCCAGCGCATGCCCACTGTGTGCAATGAAAGCTCTCAGCTGCTGCTCCAGCGCATGCCCACTGTGTGCGATGAAAGCTCTCAGCTACGGCTCCAGCGCATGCCTGCTGTGTGCTGCCATACCCTCCGTTCTCATGGCCATGGATTCATCCTCTGAAGCTGTAAACCCCAATAAATGCTTTCTTTTAGTAGTTGTTTTGGTCATAGTGTCTAATTATAGAAATGGGGGAGTTATTAAGAGGGAGGGGAAAAAAGGGGAAGGAAGAAAGGGAAGGGGAGGGTAGGCTTCGAGGGACACACTTGATTTCTTTGTTTCTTCTGTAAGCACCTCCTGATTCTCGGAGCTGACATCTTCTGCGCTCTGGAGCTGGGCTCAAGGAAGCAAAGGAAACAGCTTCCCCTCAGGGAGCTCTCAGCTGGCTGGAGAGTGGGGCTCAAAGACAGAAGTTAAAATAGATCACAAGCCATGCCCAGGTGGGGAGAAGCCAAGTCCTCAGCGAGGGAGCTGATGAAGACCACCTCACAGCCCTGGTGTCTGTCTGGCAGCCTGCACCTGGTGGAGGGAGAAGAGCAGCCCAGTGGGGGAGGGGGTGCCTAAGGGGAGTGAGCCCGGGGCAGGGGAAGTCAGGTGGCTGGAGGCTCTCACTAGAGACCTGGACCCTTAGTGGGTGGAGCACATCCGAGGGTGAACTGGATGGACTGGAAAAGGCAACAAGGACGTGATGGTCAAAACCCTGCACAATGGCTGCCACCGGAGCCCAGGATGCAGGCTTTGTCAGTAGCTGCCTGGGAGGGGTGAGGACGATGACCGTGACACTGAGGTGATGGGTTGGTTATTCAGTCAGGACTGACTTCTCAGGTCTGACTCACAGAAAACAAACTGCTTGGTTTGGAGACAAGTCTGGGGACTGGTCTGGACTCAAGCCCAAGCCGCAAGGGCGTCCCTGCAGGCCGGCTTTGGGCAGTGTCACGTAGTAGTCCACCCATGCTGCCTGGGTGTGCAGTCTGGTAGTGGGTGTAGTGACTGAGGCCTGAGAAGGTGCTTGATTTCTGTGGCACACTTCCCACTCCCTCATCTTCAGGAAAATAGGAGATGACTCAGGCTTGGGTTATTTTTTTATTTTTATTTTTTTTTGGTTCACACAGTTAAGATGAACGCACAATGTGCTGCCTTCACCTGTGGCCCCAAATATGTCAGATAGTGGCCAAGTCCTGCGTCTGTGGTGAATGAACCCGAATCACTCACTGTTCTCCTGAGAGTATAGAATGTTCCAGACCTTGGTCACACTATCTATCTGCTTGACTTGTGGCTGAGAGATACCACAAACTACAGGATCCAAAGCAGGGGCCTATCTCCTCACCAAGCCCGGGCCTGCTTGATTGTGGAGCAAACCGAGGCTCTTGGCTGCCAGAGGGGCATAGGTGGAGGGGCCTCTGCTCTCAGCTCAGCTCCAGAACGTCTCAGGGACAGTTAGCTCCTGGACTGGAGCTTAGCAGAGTTCTGGGCCACACATGAAACTTGGGTGGGTCAGGCTGAGCTAAAGGTCAGAAGTGTCTGGCATACTGTCACTTAAGTGAGGGTAAGAGAGGAGA